CTGTTGCCTAGGCTGGAGTGCAGTGGCACCATCTCAGCATACTGCAGCCTCTACCTCCTGGGCTTAGGTGACCCTCCCACCTCAGCCTCCTGAGTAGCTGGGATTATAGGTGCACGTCACCACGCCTGGCTAATTTGTTTATATTTTTAGTGGAGATAGGGTTTCACCATATTGGCCAGGCTGGTTTCGAACTCCTGACCTCAAGTGATCAGTCTGCCTGGACCTCCCAAAGTGCTGGAATTACAGGCATGAGCCATCATGCCTGGCAGAAGTGAGCTATTTTTATTGGCTTAAAGCTGCATTGCAAATAAAGCAGCTTTGCTGTCCCCAGGATATACCTTCCTAAAGACCTGTCCAGTATCATTTTATTGGCTGCCAGAGAATCGTAGTAAATAACTTCCAAGTGTCTTAAGCTTTACATAAAGAGGGACCGCTCTCAGCTGGGCACAGTGGCTCACGCTCATAATCCCAGCACTTTGAGAGGCCAAGGCAGGTAGATCACGTGAGGTCAGGAGTTTGAGACCAGCCTGGCCAACATGGTGAAACCCCGTTTCTACTAAAAATACAAAAGTAGCCAGGTATGTTGGTGTGCACCTGCTACTCGGGAGGCTGAGTCAGGAGAATCACTTGAACCTGGGAGGCAGAGGTTGCAGTGAGCTGAAATCGTGCCATTGCACTCCAGCCTGGGTGACAAGAATGAAACTCCATTCCCCTCCCCAACCCCTCAAAAAAGAGGGACAGCTGTCTACTCACTTGGCAGCATTTCTCTAATAATTAGGTGTCAAGTTGTCTCAGTGGCTGCAAATTTGCTGTCTCCCAAACCTCTGGTCCCAGCAGAACTCCCAGGATCCTAAACCAGAAAGCCAAATGTTTAAATTAGCAGACATATTCTGGCCTGAAATCTGAGCCATGGAAAGCCATTACAAAAATGCATTCAATATCCTTTTCAATGCTTTATATCATACCCGGAGCCATTACTGCTTGGAAGCCAGGACAGCTCTGGCTTCTCCTCATGTACTTAGACTGTATGCCAAGCCAGAAACTAGCTAATCTAGAAAATATGGATTTGGGGATGCAGGGGAAAAAGAACCCTTGGAGTGAAGCATTTGGATTATTCTTCCCAGAGGCTTTAATTACCTCTCAGCTATTTGTATCAGGCTGCAAGTTTCAAGTTTAATGGAGTTTGTTTTTGTTTTTCAGGCCCAACTGGAAGGCATTATTGCACCAAAGAAGTGATAACTTCCACATGGGTCTACCCCATCATAAGCCCTTTGTAATAAAAAGCTAGTTTCCTGAGTGAACAAGCCATACCCTCCCCTAACCACCTAGGTGTTTGTCAGAAGTCACACCATTGCTCCAATGTCATGAAACACGGAAGGTCTGCAAGCCAGCCTCCTGGCTGGGCAATGGAAGATGGTGTGGTCCTGTTAGTCTCAGGGTGTGGCTTGCTAGCCAGTCTTGGGATCTGCCAGCTCAGATTCTAAGAAAGACACTGCTTTCTCATCATCATTCTATACCAACACTTATTTCTGACTAGATGAAGCTGCTGCTCTGCCCCTCAAACTTTTGGTTCACAGTTCATCTTCTGCCTTGACCTGGGCTTCTGGCCTTATTTAATGTCTTTTTATCGCTACTCTAATGCATTTCTATTAACTCATTTTGGAACTCTGGTTTTTCTGCTGTATCGTATTACCCCCACTTGCCAGTCAACTGGACCCCTTCCTCCTCAGTTTCAGACTGCCTAGATTAGTAAATGTTTGCCAGAAAGGAATACCAGTCGTAGTGGCCTTTGTGAGCTGTCTGCAACGAGCTCTTCCCCCAGCACAGATTTGTTCACTTTATCCTGCAGAAAACCAACCCCCGACTCTGCACTCCCCTAAGTAATGTTGATTAACAACTGAAGAGGGAAGCAAATCTCAACATGCAGGTCTAATGACTAATGATTAGACTATGGCCGCTAGCCAACTGCATTTTAGTATTTCTCTTCCACTCCCCTGGTTTTGTAGACCCAGCTTGAATGAGTGACATAAATCTTTATTAGTTCAGGACAGGCCCCGGTGGGCTAAGATGGTAAGCTGGAGGACTTCCATCCTTCGGTCAGGCTGCACAAGTAACATTACATAGAAGGCACTAACATTCTCAGGTTCCCGGAGAGGTGCGAGAAGGCTCTCCTTAGCAGAGCTTCCATCTGCCATCCGTCTTGGGTCCAGTGAGCTTCAAGACTCACCATGGAAGCACTGTTGTCCCCCAGAAAACCCGTGTTCCCCAAGCTGTACACACCACACACACTGTCATCTGGAATCTAAGGGCAGCTTTTACCCTGATCCAGTATCCTGAGGCATTATAAGGCTCCACTCAAATGACCTGCCCGTGTTGTCATTTCCGTGGGAAATAACTCTTTTCACAAGATCTGCTAGTTCCAGGATTCTACAGCAGGAATGTACGTGCCCTAAGCGGGTCCACTTCACAGACTCGATGAGGAACAGAAGTTACTGTAGTTTTCTTTTTTTTTTTTTTTGAGATGGAGTCTCACTCTGTTGCCCAGGCTGGAGTGCAATGGCTGATCTCAGCTCACTGCAACCTCGACCTCCCGGGTTCAAGCGATTCTCCTGCCTCAGCCTCCTGAGTAGCTAGGATTATAGGTGCCCACCACCATGACCTGCTAATTTTTCTATTTTTAGTAGAGACAGGGTTTCACCATGTTGGTCAGGCTGGTTTCAAACTCCTGACCTCGTGATCTGCCCGCCTCAGCCTCCCAAAGTGCTGGGATTAGAGGCGTGAGCCACCATGCTTCGTATTTCAAAGCCCAGGCCATGCACACCAACGTCCTTGAAATCTGCAGTTCTGTATGTTTCTATTCCAAATTGTTCATTATCACTAAAGAAATACTACCCTTTCCATTTTGTAGACCTCATCCCCTATTTCTGTCAGACATTTACATGACAGGGTGACTGTGGATGAACCTTTTAGTTCATCTACAGTCTACCTGAAGTACTAGACTTTCAGACTCTATCACTGAAATCCTTAAGGGTGAGGAGGCTTTATTTCCCTAGGCTGGTGAAGGGCTTCAACTGTCAAACCTCAGAACAAACGCATTATGGCCTTAGAAATGCCAACGGGGCAGGAAGGAAATGAACACAATTTCTAATTGCATGTTTTTGTATAATTTAATAAAAACCTTTTAAACATGACTCTTTTATCTGAATTTTTTGTGTCTGTGTTTCTGTCCCTCCGAGTCATTAGTCTTCTTTTTGTTCCTGTTCCTGTTTTTCACGTTGTGTGTTTCATAGTAGCGCACACCAACTTTTTTCGGCCGTTGCTGCCGTTCTGCTCGCCTCCGCTGGAAAAAATGGCAAGAAAAGATGAAGGAAAAAAAAAAACCGATCAAACCCTGAAAGTCATTCACAAAACAGGAGGCTGTGCTTCTCATCTCTGTTCTGTTACCCGTGCTGCTTCCACAACTACTGGAAGAGGTGCTAATGAGGGAGGGCTCCCCCATACACTTAAGGTTACTCTTCCATGTGACTTGTGAAACTCCAAGTTACAAATCCGCATGTGGTCCAACCCTTATCCAATGAGTGAATCCCTTCTGCAGCACTCCTGACAAGTCCCCTGCAGTCAGGCTGAGTGCTGCTGACAACTACTCCCCTCCCCAGAGGGCCCACTCCAGCTCTGAACAGCTCAGCTCTGAAGCTGTCCTTCAGACTGCCCAAACACATCTGCTCATCAGGTCATTTCCCTTGGGACTACAAACTGACTCCTCAGAGGATAATCCACCGCTGCGGAGATGTTGATTAGAAACTCCTCAAGGACCTTCATCCAGTGGGCCAGGCCCTGACCCTATTTATCTGACTTCAACTAGGTCACTGAGGACTGGGGTTCCTGGGATTCAGCTCTGGACCGTTTGTTTCAGTGGGTCTTGACAACGGGACTTCTATTTACTCTAATTGGGTCATACTAAGACCTAAAACACTTACTTCTTTTGATGTAAGCGCCCTGGGAGCTTTATTTGAATGTTCCCGTTCCTCTTCCCTTTGTGCCTTCCGCTTCTTTCCCTTTTTGGAAGGTGCTGGATACAAATGATACACAAACAGGAATTTTCTGCTGAAAATTTGTCTATAAACCCAATGGTGGGAACAAGCTTGACATATCAGAAGGATAAGGACACCCAATGTGGACAAAGCAGGTGAGCAGCGTGGTGAGTAAAGCAGGCCAAGGGGAGGCCTTCAGGTCAGGATGCCCTGAGCCACACACTCAGTGTGGAAGCTGATGCAAATGGAGGGAAGGATAAATGCAGGAAACATGCCCCCATGTTTGTCTGTGGACCCGCCCTTGGATTCTAAGGTTAACAATGAACGCTTTCTAAGAAGTTTCCTGAATTGACAATTTAATCCTAAAAAATGTGCAGAATGAAAAGCAGATAATTTAATTTGTATCACAGTATGTGAATTTAATCTGCCAGATATGATATCTATGTGGATGACTATATGAGATAATTTGGAGACTGAACTTAGGTTTCTCAAAGCTCTAAAGACACAAATTACATCTAAATGATTGAAATAATTTGTCTTCACCTGTATCATCTACATCTTCTAGTGTTTTTCTTTGTTCTTCAGGTTTTGCAAATATCTTTTCACTCAGTCCCTTGGATATTCTGAAACAGAAAAGCAAAGTAACATTCCTCTCACTGATACAAATCACATGCTGACCTGGAGACCTGAGACAGACTAAGGAACCCCACTCCTATCCATGTAGTTTATCTCCAATGGACGAAGTCAACACCCAACATGTTTGTGCCTCCCTGGTGTTTCTAAAAGATTGGACAACCAAGCTTCTCATACTGAAGGTAGCTGAATTTTACAAAATTTACAGCTCACTTTAAAAAAATGGGTAACAGCCAAGTGTGGTGCATGACGGCAGACCCAGCTACTTAGGAGGCTGAGACGAGAGGGCTGCTTGAGCCCAGGAGCATGAGGCCAGTCTAGGCAACATAGTGAGACCCCAACTCAAAAAAACAGACAGACAAAAAACCCAACCAACCAGCCCACCAACCAAATGGCAGTAACTCCATGTAAAAATACAGCTCCAGTACTCATGGCAAATTTACGGGACAGGAACGAACCATCTGCAATTTGTGAGAAGATGAACATACTACCTGACTGCCGAAAACTTTTTGGCTTTGGCTTTGTCTAAAAACTTCTGATATTTGGCGATCTTCTCATCCAGGGCTTTAATAACGGCTTTGGTGTCATTTCCCACATGTTCCTCCTCGGATTCCAAGGAAGACTCTTCCATAGCGTCTCTTTGTTGCTCCTGTTCCTCCACCTCTTCATCAGAAAAGCTGTCAAGTGCTTCCTCAAGATCTGACACCTCTACAGGAACCAGGTCATCCTCAGAAAACTGAGGCACCACGTTGATTTTACCAAAGTTCTGCCGAACCCGTGCGAGAATCTGCTGCATCTCTGTGTTAGCATCGCAGTGACTGTTCTCTTCCGTTTCTTTCTTAATGACGGATTCTGACCCTTCACCTGCAATTTCGGTGACTTCCTCTCCTGGATTATGCTGAGCTGCTTCTGGGACAACTTCCAAAGATGAGGAGGGTGGAAGCTATTAAGGGGTGGAAACAGGGGAGAGAAACAGAATCAGAAAATGAAAACTGGAATTTCTGACTTGCTCTTAAACAGTCCTCTTCTCAGGACTAAGGGAAGGTATTGAAAACACCCAAATTTGAGGCATTTCATTCATCTATTTTTAAGCCAATGTACATTAAACCCAGAGACCAGTATTAGGATCAAAGGAATACATGTGTAGTTCCATAGGATGAGGCAACTAAGACTATTTAAATCATTAAAACCAACCAATGATTTACCATAGACAAGCAAGGCTCCCTAGACCTTCCGTAGGGGGCTGTTCATATAAGCACATGCAGAATCAGCACACACCACTATGTAAAAATGAAGGCCAGGGTGGATGTTAAGGATGTACTCAGAGAGGCATTTGAGGAGGTCCTCTGATTTAAGCGTGTCCTCCAAAATTCCTGTGTTGGAAATGGATATGGTTTGGCTGTGTCCCCACCCAAATCTCACCTTGAATTGTAGCTCCCATAGTCCCCATGTGTTGTGGGTGGGACCCGGTGGGAGGTAATTGAATTATGGGGGGTGGGGGGGTGGTCTTTCTCCTGCTGCTCTCATGATGAATAAGTCTCACGAGATCTGATGGTTTTACGAAGGGCAGTTCCCTTGCACACACTCTTGCCTGATGCCCAGTGTTAGACATGCCTTTGTTCCTCCTTCACCTTCCGCCATGATTGTGGACACTCCCCAGCCATGTGGAACTGTGAGTTCATTAAACCTATTTTTCTTTATAAACTATCCAGTCTCAGGTATTTCTTCATAGCAGTATGAAAATGGACCTATACAGACACTTAATCCCCAATGCAGCAACAGTGTTGAGAGGTGAGGCCTAGTAAGAGGTGAGTAGATCAGGAGGGCTCTATCCCCATGACTGGACTAATGTGATCTCAAGAGGGGCTTAGTTATTGTAAGAGTGAGTTTGTCATGAAAGCAAGTTTGACCCTCTCTTGCTTGCTCTTGTCTTCCCACTTTCCATGATGGGATGACCCTTGTCAGATGCTAGTGCCCTGATATCGGACTTCTCAGCCTCTAGAATCGTAAGTCAAAACAGTTTCTGTTCATTGTAATTACCCAGTCTGCAGTATTCTTAGAGCAGCACAAAACAGACTAAGATAGGAGGCATCTTGAAGCAAGAG